CAGCAGGCTTACTATGTTAAGACAAATGCGACTTCGATATTAATATAAAATTTTTGTATGTTCACAACACTCAAAACCACCAAAATTTTGTTTCATCGTTGAAACTATTGTAGTCAATACTGTGGCGTGCCAATTGAATTGGTATTTATTTTAAGAATATTCACACAGGTCCTATAATACTATTCTATTGATTAACTTATACAAATTAAAAGGTCATTGACCTGTAACAATAACCCAAATATAAGCCAATTAAAAAAGCAAATAGAAATCAGCATCTGCCGAAATCCCATTAATTTGTTTGTCCATCAATTTATCAAAGAATCCTATAATTTTATAGATTTAATTGGAAACAATTTGTTTTGAAGATATGCGAATACGGTAAATGTACTGTTATATTAACTGCGTCACTGTTTAGTGGTTAATGTCCGACTGCATCGTAAGGCCTTGGCTTCATATCCTGGGTAAGGTCAAATATTAAAAGCGCCATTGCGGTATTTTAATTAAGACATTTAATTTTAAAATCAATCTCAAAGTCATTTGTCAAATCTAAAATTGGAAGTGTACTTTTATTGAATTTATTTTATTTTTAATTTATTTTAACATTTATGTTTGTAGCACGTAACATATAATGTAGATATACCATTATATATGATGTGGTGAACTTAAATAAAAAATAAAATTTTAGACTCATATGGTCGGACCAATTCGGCTTAGAGTCCTTCAAGAACCACCCATTACCATAACCGTACCCATGCTTAAAAGGTCGCCACGCACTTGCGAGCATTCTGACAATATGAGTGTCTATGGGCGGTATCACTTAACAACAGGTTAGCCTCCTGCCCGTTTGATTCCTGTTACATTAAAAAAACAGTTTATAGGTCAATCTCGAAAAGCTTTCCTATGCCTATTCTCGTGGTAGTCCAGAAATGTTGGGAATTCATCACATAGGGGTATAGGAGTTACATAGACAGGGCACATACTTGCACTATAATATCTCTTATTAAGCCAAATTCAATAGACCCCTGACACCTGGCATGGAGAACATTATTAACAGGCTTCAAACAAAGGAGATTATCAGGTAGTCCTATATGTCATATATATATTTATTTGAAAAGGTAATAATATATTTTAATAATGTGACATTTTATCACTACAAATAATATAAAAATGTATGTAACTTCTATGTATAATTCCTTTTTGGACAAATTTGCACGCCATTATGTGTGGCAGAATATGTGAACTTTAGATTGTACCACCATAACATTTTTGTACTATATCATTTTTGTATTTCTTGCAAATAAATTATTATTACTAGATAAATAATGTTAGCAGGTATATGAAGTTTAAAAGTGGAAAAGTTATTTTAACAGTAAAAAATTTGGTGCGTACCACATGTAACAAAGATAATAATTTCGATTGATGACGTTTTGAGGCTAACTGAGAACTTTATGACCTTGCATGAGCTACAAAGCGTAATGTCGTATTTCACGTAATTCTTATTTCAAATTAAACAAACTGTTCGTAACAGCTTTATGTATTAAATCTGTGCACCGTAGGGTGCTTTTTTAATTAGACATAATATTTATGTTATTAGTCCATTGAAATGTTACATGGGCTGAACATTTGTAAGAGGACGCAATTTTATTTATGGGACATGTAGGGGGGTCAATACAAGCTTAACCCCAAGTTTGTGGGGTAGGCGCCCTTGTCCCCAGGCCGCCACCTTTTTTATTTTGGATTTATGATTAAAAGTCAGATATACATAATTGTAAGCAAAGCGATTTGCTACAAAATATATCTTTACAAATTTTTTGTACGATGGATAGTTTAGGATGTATAGCCAAAACGTGTTTTCATCCCTTTTTCCAAGATGGCAGCCGGGGGACAAGGGCGCCAACCCCACAAACTTGAGGTTAAGCTTGTATTGACCCCCCCTACATGTCCCATATAAAATTGCGTCCTCTATGTTCAGTTTGGCCCTCATATTGTAACTATTCAATGGACTATATATCAAAAGTTGGAAATAGGTTATTTTGACACAGTTGTATTGTACGACGTAATTCTAAATTTAAAATTGTGATGTTCTATCACTCTGAGGCCCTCAAAATATAGGTTAAAGATTTAATATATGCAGCTTGTTGCTCATTAGGGAACTGATTAAAAAGTTTGGAATTTTAAAGACATGAATAGCATAACGTTAGCCCCGTCTCGCCTCTCTTGGTCAAGCACAAAAGCTTGGCCGCAGAGCAGGCGGTAAATAATAAACAGCTAAAATTTAAGTCTTTCCCCCAACATGTTTTTGTTCCTTTTGGAGTAGAGACTCTTGGGTTGTGATTTCGATTAAAGTCTCGATTAAAGTGATTTCCTCGCTCGACGAATAAGTATCGCAATACGGGGAAATTCTGCCAGAATTAGACTGCCACAGTACAACATTTTTAAATTAGTTCTGGTCTTCTGTTATCCGTTTTTATTATTATTTCTATTTAGTTCAACAATATTGTAAATACTTAATATTTGTATGTTTGAGTCAACTTTTGTTTGCACGGTGCAATAATAATACTATACTACCTGTAATTACGTTAGTACTTGATTGTAACGGAATAAGAATTGACGGCTTAATATTCTGGCGTGTTGTCCTAGTGGCTTCAGCGTGCGACTCTCATACCTGAGGTCGTAGGTTCGATCCCCGACTGGGCACCAATGGACTTTCTTTCTACGTGCGCATTTGACATTTGCTCGAACGGTGAAGGAAGACATCGTGTGGAAACCGACATGTCTTAGACACAAAAAGTCGACGGCGTGTGTCAGGCACTGGAGGCTGATCACCTACTTGGCTATTAGATTTAAAAATGATCATGAAACAGATTCAGAAATCTGAGGCCAAGACCTAAAAGAGGTTGGAGCGCCACTGATTTTTTTTATACTCTGGGGTACTGAAACGCCTTCCAAAATAATTTCATCCCGAGCTAAGATAACTTTGCTCGTAGCATATCCGATTTAGTACTTATATTAGTAACCAAAGTTGGAATAACATCAAATAGTATATGTAGCTTTGTATGAATCTTTGGGCATTTAACTTTAGGCTTTTGACAGTGTGAATTGAATGTTGTTTAACAAGAGATCGATGCCGGAACTTCGTGTTACTTCTCAGATAGGAAGGTTTGCGTATGTTTCAATGACAGTTTTTACGGGCAATCGGCCCCATGTGTAATAGGCATATTTAGCTGAAAAAAAAAATTTGTACCGTAAATTGAACCCAGTTTCACCATCGGCATTAATAAGCCCACACACCGTCTCACCATTTATGCTACATCATAAAACCTTTAATTTCTGTTTAATGATGAAGCAATAAACTTGCATGATTGATTTGGTTAATTATCGTAAATAATATACTTTTTATCATTGATTAGTTATTTTCAACATGCGGACTTTGGTGCCAGGATTTGTGAGTAATTAAATTAATTTTATAAGTAATTAAACTTAATAATGATTGCGTATTTATTTTAAAATTCAGCTGATTTTTATTTTATTAGATGTTAATTATTGTACAGAGGAGGTATCATCAACCAAGACAATAATAGTGAATTCTCAACTGAATTACAAGTAAGTAATTACCATGTTAAGCTCAATTTTAAAGTCGTAATATATACCTCAGTTTAAAATCCTTTAAACAATCTATTAAAAACATACCAAGTAAGTCATAGTGTTATTGAGAAATATGATACGTTGATGTCACATTTATGTTCTTATTAAAAATCCCTTTTTCAAGCTTTTGCTCTGACCTTTATGCGAAGAGCAGACGTCATAGTCAGTTTAACTCATTAATAAAACAAAAAAATATTTCTTTTAAAACGAGAATTTGTTGGTCTTTTAACAAAAACATGGTAAAAATATTGAACGAAAAAACAGATTTAAAACATTATTTTCTAAATAAGACAACGAATATAATACACAATAGATTTTTTTTAAATTATACAATATTTTGTGCAGTAATATACTCGTAATAGTTTCTGCTGATTTTTTATGACATCTATAACAACAAACAATTCCTTAATTACTAAATTTTCAAGATCATGTATTTGACATTTGCAAGGAAGCAAACGCAAGAATGGGATTTGTGCTTCGAAGGGCAACAACGTTCGCTAATATTAATGACATCTCATGCTTATACAATTCTTGGTTAGAAGTATGCTAAAGTGTATCTCGTCTGTTTGGGCTTCACATGAAGATAAATACTGCGGAGCGGATACAGAATAAATTTACTCGATACCTTTATAACAGACTGTATGGCGCCTATCCCTACTATCCTTTAATGTACCCAACATTAATTGTCTTAGGGATGGTGGCGGTGGGGTACCATACATTGGAAACTAGACGGGACTTACAGTTGGCCTATTATGTACTGAAAGTCTTGCGGGAGGTAGTGTGCTCTAAGAACTCGGTTTCTTTGTACCTATGGGATATGTGCGACGGCGAAGTCCAAGATTGTTTGCGATACCAAGGCCAGAACCAGTCTGTTGCACAGATCTCCGTTATCAAAGATGTTGCGCCTACTGAACGCTGTCTCCGATACCCAAATATTAATGTTCGCAGAGTGAATTCACAGTAGCGATATTGTATATATTATGCGTTTAATATTATGTAAATACTTTATTATATTTTGTTTTTTCTCGACATTATCGCATTGGCATAGTCTGTAAGGATAATGTATGTATTTCTGTAAATAAATAAACTATTTTTCAGCGTTTCAGCAAATAATAAAACTCAGCCCTTACTAAAAACAAATCGTAAAACGGTTTTGGTTATAAACAGCGATACAACACTGCGAAGTAAATATCCAAAGAAAACGACAAGTTTATTATACCAGGACTTTGATGACGATGGAAAAATGCTTAACTCATTTTATATGTACAATCTTGATGATGTCTCTGAGTTTTTCCGAGTTTTTCTTGATACAGAAATATGTAATGTTGTATGTAGAGGCGGTGAAGGACGGCGTATCAGCCAATAAGTGATGCCAAAAGATCTGGACTATTGATGGACTCTAGTATATACTGCAAAATAAAGAATAATACCTGCAGCTGAGTTTCATCATCGGACGTCGAGGCAGAATACAAAATTCCATACGTATCACCTCGACGTCCGTAGTTCCACAACTGCCTTGCGATTCTGTAACTCACTTTTCGAACTCACACAGCGGTTTTCGCATCGGCGGTAAACAATTAACTACAAGCTCCCACCTTATCAGAATGCCAAATCATAAAATGACTGCTTCACGACTGATTTGAGAGCGACCGCCGATGCGAAAACCGCTGGGTGAGTTCGAAAAGTGAGTTACAGAATCGCAAGGCTGAGCGTTTTTTAAGGCAAGTTTTGCCTGCTGCACACTGAATTATTTCCAAATTAAATCGACAGGTTCCTTCAATAATAGAGCGTTCCAATTCTTAAAAAACCGGTAATGCATTCTCGAGCCCTGTGGCAATGTCAGTGTCTGTGAACGGCAGTGTCACTTAACATTAGGTGAGCCGCCTCATACACGTTTTTGCCCCCTCTTAATAAAGCAACTAATATTATAAATTCTTTAGCTAACAAAAATTATTGTCCCTGTGGCAGAATACTAATAATGAAGGGTAGGGACTAATAGTACTAATAGTACTAATAATAAGGAAAGTACCAGCTCTGGGCATGTATTACTCTTTCTACATGTGCGCATTTTTCGTTCTGGTTAATTTAATTAAATATCAATTACTAAAGAAAACAAACAAGTATACCAACCTCATCTATTGGTTGAAATAACAAATCTGATTCTGTCGTCGTTTCAGTGGACTCGTTTTTGAAACTAGGGGTAGAAGGTTCGTCCATCTCAGTTTCGCTTGTGGTAATTTCAGTATTTTCATAGTTCTCTGTTGTAAAGTTCTCAGTATCATTTATCAGAGATGGATCCTTTCCAATGTTTTCAAAATTTGATACCCTGAAAAGTTTGTGATCAATCAAACACGTAATTTAAATTAATTATCAAACGTATCTCATGGCATAATTAAGGTCTAAAACGAAAGTACTCCTTTGTATCGACCCCATAAGCTATATATGGAAGCTATATATGGAAGCTATAAAAGGATAAATTGATGTAAGTATCTGTATAAGGAATATACCTGTTAACAAATACTGGGAACTTCTTGGTGGCGCGTAACGCTCGATTAGGAACTTATTTAAGACACATATAATTAGAAATATATTGTGTCTAAGCAATTATTTATTATATGTTTACTGACTTATTCGAATAAAAAGCCTTCATTATTATTATTTAACCGTAAAAAAAATATCTCTTATTCATGGAGGTAATGCTCTTCAGTAAAACAATTAATGCTTCTAAATTTACATTTACTGCCAGTTCTTGAATCAAGGGCGCAGAACGTACGAGAAGAACTGGCACTAAACTCTCCGACACTCTTGTAAATCCCAGTGGCGTAATAACAGAGTGGCAGGGCTGGCAAAATGCCACGGGCCCCCGACCCAAGAGTGCCCAAGAGATATTATGTTCTATGAATGAATGTGAAGTCTCCAATACGCATTGGGCTAGTGGGGACTACAGACCTCTCTCGCCTCAGAGAGGAGGCCCTTGGCCATTAGTGGGATACAACGTGTAATTGAGTACTCTGAAAATCTCAAAGTTTTTTAAAATTAAACTGAGTACAACGTGACGATCCCTATTAACATAAGGGTCACATCAAAAGAATTGCCACGAAAGAAGATTTCCCACGGGCCCAAGGTATAGTTACGCCACTGGTAAATCCCCAATGTTTTTTACAAAAAATTTGTAACCGTTATATCTTGCTACTCATCACGTGTTAAAGCAGTTATTGTAATTAAATAAGAAACAGTCAAGTAAGCACGAATTGACAGAATGTAGACGGATAAACAGGGGGAAATCCGTCACGACGTTCATTTAATATTATCGACACCTATGAACTCACACAGCCAAGGCATTATCATTATCTAAAGACTATTGTTAAGCTCTTTACTTGAAACATTGTACACGTCATACGAGTATAAACCTAAGTAGGTAATAATAATAATAATATATAAAACGAAGCTCTTTTATTGAATTGATTGGGTAACAAAATAGGTATAAAAATGTTTTTTTTTCTCTCTGTTGTACTGCTTTCGTTTCGTTATGTTGTATTAATTGCATGTAATTTTATGTTTTTTTCTTTTTAATTCTTTAGTTTATTAGGAATTTATTTTGTACCCTTGTAGCCTTTCAGGCACCAAGGTTAAACCCCTTAGTGTTTTTTTTGGTGTTTTCTATACTTTAAGTTTATATTATAAAAAAAAGAATACTGTTAATTTCATTAATAGTATTTTTTCACGTACATCATTTCCTTATACAAATAAATGGTTATTATATTGAAATTTGTTTATAAAGATGTATCTATATCCAGCAACAATCAACTGCAATTATTTCGTTGCAAAATACTTATACGAAGACCATGTGATAATAATTTACTAATAAAAGTTTCCATACCTTAGTAATATAGGTATTTTGCTTTATTCTCAATATATACTTATAGCACTAAATATAGCAATAAATTTTATGGTTATGTATACACTTCTACGGTACCTACAATAAAGATAAAAAAATGTGTTCTACGATTGAACATTTTTCAGATTTTGTAGAGTTCTATACATTATTTACGTACAACAGCGGGTCGTCTCCATTTATATTCAGTGTTGGTACACTGCGTTTCTTAGATGAAAATCCTGGAGCCGCAAGACAAGACGTCAGATATCCTAGGCATATTAGTATGTGTATCTGAAACGGAACGAATTACTAACTGATATCACTGAATTATTGATCTCTATTTACAGCCATAATAACCATTAATATATATAATATTTAATAGATAGTGATAACAGGAAAAAGGACGGCACATTATTGAAATACAGAAGAATTCAAATCGTTAAAAAGAAAAGCCAATTCATAATTTTCGAAACATGACATTCATACTAACAAACCATGAATTATTTTACAAATTGGCAGTTTTTCTGTTAGCTGCCCACTGAAGTATTTGCGAACCAATTCGACTTAGGGTCCTTCAAGAAAAAAACGTACCAATTCTCTGGCATTGAGAGTGTCCATGGGCGGTATCACTTAACAGGTGAGCCTCCTGCCCGTTTGTTTTATAAAAAAGAAAGATCAGAAGGCACTGCCTGCACTTTAAAAGGTTGCATCTCGAACGATGCTCAAAATCTAGCACCTCGCGTTGGTTGGTATATAAGATATGTAGAACGATCGGGACTAGGACGACGACAGAAATATAGTTCTGAGTTTCTAGGTAGACTTCTATAAAAAAAAAATGTGTGTGTACTATGTACATGCGTTAGAAGTTATACTTCTTTGGCATAATAAGATAAAAAATTTATCTTTCGCCTTATTCTACGTTTGTAGATACGACACTTACAAAAGAAAAAAGGTATTTAATACATTGAAAGTTTTATTATAACGCATTATCTAGTTAAATAAAGTTTATTTAAACATCACAAAAAAATGTACATAATTAAAGAAATGGACATTTTTTAATTTAAAATGTTGACTATGCTAATTTCAGGGTGTCGGGCTTTTGTAACGGTGTGCGCGCGCATCGTAAAAATTTACTCTCATCATTTTTCCCTAACGCGCCTAAAAGAAGTATGTATAACTTAAAAAACTAAAATGTTGACAATAGCTAACTTCAGGGTGTCGGATTTTTGTAACGGTGTGCGTGCGCATCGTAAAAATTTGCTCTCATCATTTTTCCCTAACTTTCCAAAAGAAGTATAACTTCAAAAAGTGTTTGCATGCGTTTGCCCTATGGCTGATTGGAAAGGTGAAGATGAGCTCATAAGGTCAACCAAACCATACTGTAAGCATTATAATATCAATGTTATAAAACATAGTAATTTTCCTCATATAAAAATGCGTACTTACATAACGTCGTAATTCCATTTTGAATTATATCAACTACATCAAAAGCTTTGTCTTAAATTATCTTATCTAAAGGCTAAAGCCTTTCTTGAGCCTTCTTCACTAACTGAGTAGCAAAGATTATGATGCTAGGTCTATATTGTATGTGTACTATCTAAAAAACCAAGAACGTGTTATTGGTGATTAACTCAAGGTTTTGGTGTTCCGTATTGAAATAGTTGTGCAGTGTTTTATTAAGCGTGTCTTCTTTAAAATACTGTCATGTGCCTTCAGGGCTTAAGTCACCAAATGTGGGCACTTAAGTGGCAGCTTGGTGAGGGTTACCGGGTTCGATTCCCGGTTCGAGGGCAAGTTTTAATTTAATTTAAATTTGTTCTCGGCCTTTGGGAGGGTTGTGCGGCACCGGGCGAGTGCCTAAAACCGTACATGGAGGACATGGTCGAATTTCTAAGGCAAAAAGCACGAATTATAAAAATCTTATACTTGACGCTGGCTAATGCACAAACCGTGCCAGAGCCATAAAAAAAATGTGGGCATGGATGTGTCAATTTTAGTGATAAGATTCAAGGTCGGGCGACTATTGCTACTAACTCGAATAAAGTTCCATTGGGAGTTGAGACCGTTTAATCCATTGAAATGTTACATTTACTGAACATTTGTTAGAGGACGCAATTTTAAATGGAACATGTAGGGGGGGTCAATACAAGCTTAAACCCAAGTTAGTGGGGTTGGCGCCCTTGTCCCCCGGCCGCCATCTTTATAATAAGTAAAATTGTTGGAATTGAACAAAAATTATCGAAAATCTTTTTAAAATAAGCGAGAGATCATAAAAGTAAAGTCAAGAAAATTTTTGACCGGCTTGTCATGAGCATTGACGAACCCGGTCAACTTTGGAGCGCTGTAACAGTGTTTGCATATACGAAATTTAAAAAAATTATAGAGAAAAATCTTCAGAAAGAGATCCGCTACAAAATTGTTCTGACATTATTTTTTGATAAAATCAAAAGAAAAAAAGTTCTTAAGCAAAAAAAATTTTTTTTCACGTTTTTTACTCATAACTTTTGAATTTTGGCTTTCCGATAAAAAACACACAGACATAATTGTAGGCAAAGCGATTTGCTACAAAATATGTTCTCACCAATTTTTTGTACGATGGATAGTTTAGGATATATAGACAAAAACGTGTTTTCACCCCGTTTTCCAACATGGCGGCCGGGGGACAAGGTCGCCAACCCCACAAACTTGGGTTTAAGCTAGTATTGACCCCCCTACATGTCCCATAAATAAAATTGCGTCCTCTGTCAAACGTTCAGTTTGGCCCTCAAATTGTAACATTTCAATCGACAGAAATATCACTTTTCAATAAAACGTTATTTGTGTACTTATTTTTGTACACATGGGATTTGTAAAAAATATGCAAAAGAATATTTTATCAATTAGTTACAAAATAATTATGCGTGATCAGTAATCACGATGTGTTTTTGTTTATTAGTTTTTTCAAGAGTATGAATGCAATTTATTTTATAGGTACAACAGGCAATTCTACGAATTAATAATGTTTAATATTATATTGACTAGTATGCAACTTCAATAATGTAAACATTAGTTTACCTTATATAATTTATTATAAACAGCTTCGACATGAATTTAAATATTAACTTCGTGATATAAACGATACCAATATTTTACTAAAGTCTTTTAAAACATCCATTTGGCTAATCCTAATATTTTGAGTAGAATCATTTGGGTTTGCCTAAAAGGCGAAAGAAAATTACGTTGTATGTAAAAATAAAAATTTATTGCTACAGTTAAGGTGGGGAATTAGCCGATAAGAGAAGCAACGACGCCAGGGGGTATAGCGCCTCCTGGACCCTGCTCGATTGTTGGTTGATAGCCTTTATCATCAGCTACGTATGTCACGGTGTAGGTAACGCCATCTGGGCCAACCCAGGTGTAGGATCCCCTGACAGAGATAGCCTCGTCGTCGGTTCCAGCGTTCTTCAGTTCCCCTTGTTCTTCCTTTTTGGTGCCATCACTTTGTTCCAAGCTGGAGGTATGGGAATAACATTAATATAGGTTTTAGTACGTTTGAAACAGCACAAATCGGTAATCCTAGTCTTCTGCATAAAAAAGTTTCACAAATGATTTTTATATCAGATGAGGTGTAGTTTTTTTATTATTATTAAATATTTTTAAGAAAATTTGAGTCAAAATTTATTAAGTTAATCCTAAATCAATTTTTAAATAAACATATTTTACAACTTTTCAAGAATCGTATATTTTTTTTATAAATAATTATCAGCGATACAGTATGTAAAAGCTTAAAGCTTTTTTTTATAATTCTTCGCTTGTAACAACTATAACTGTATGCTACTATACATTAAATATTAACCATACTTAAATATATATGTACAATATAAATATATATTTTTTTAATTAATAATGCATGTATGCAAAATACTCACGCAAATCTATAAGTCCCGAGTCCATCATTTTCAGTATCGAACCGAAGAATTTGTACCTCTTGTGGGTTTGCGCTGGGCACCTGCCTTTGAGCTTGGGGCGCAGCCGACACCACCACGACTAAACCGAGTACCACCAACTGAAATCACAGTTTTCATAAAAATCACAGACCTAAAAATCACAATTAAAATCACTTCACAATTCACTGTTATACACCAACCAATTTCATGATTCCTGTGCGGTATTCACTTGCAATGTGCTAACTTGATAAAGCTTAACGCTTATTATATACTTTTCTGAATATTCTATTACAACACATATTATTAGGCGTACAACCGACTCGTTAAAATGTTTTGTGTGTGACCGCTCCTATGCCGAAGGTGACCGTTGAGGACATGATGGGTATATGTCGCAATATCTTAAATTTGCATAGCTGAGATAACTACTTTGATTGACTGTAATTATAGGTGCAATTACAATTATAGATTCATTTATGGTTTTATTATAAGTTTGCTAACAAAAACTTACATTTAGCGAATATAAATTAATCGATTTCTGTAGTAGAAGCAAGCTTTAAACGGTGAAAAGTATCGTCTTGTTTGTGTAATCTACGATTACAAGAAATTTAGAAAAAAAGTTATGTAATCTAAGGTTAGTTACATATATAGTTTAGTTAATAATTAGAAGCGCAAATGTTAACAATCATCGTTTTATACAATGCATTAGTCAGAAGTCACTTGGAGTGCAATGCTATGGTGTGGGCCCCATATGAGGCTAAATACAGTCTCATGTTAGAGCTAATACAAAATAAATTCACCCGTTACCTCTACAAGAGACTGTATGGAGTGTATCCTTTGTATCCGCTTATGTACCCGACCCTGTTTGTTCTGGGTATGGTGGGCTATGACCAGCTACGCCTCAGAAGAGAGCTAGCCTTGTCGGTGTATGTATTTAAGATACTTACGGGTCGGGTCCATAATCTGGACATAATGGAGAGACTGAGTCTACGGGTACCAAGTAGAAACCTGAGGCGGAAGTCTCAACTTTTGGATGTACCGCGCGCACATTCCAACTTGGTTAGCGAAGCACCACTCACGCGAGCAATAATTATAATAAATAGGACTTCTGTTGAGGTAGACCTGTTTGTTTGTACACTGGCTGAGTTCACAAGAGTTGCTTCCTATATTATTAGTTATAAGATTTAGGTATATATATATATATATATATATATATTTCTTAATGTTTTTTATCTAGGTTAATTGGTGTGGGTGTAAATATTGTGTCGTTCTATCGAATTAGTAATTAGGTACTGTAAAGATAGAATAAGGATATGGAATAAATAAATAAATAAATAAATAAATCTTACAGTTGAAGACTTCATAGTAATTAAAGAGCCCTTTAGTTTTTTATGCACTCATAAATTGTAACATTCTCGTTTCCAATAAAAAAAAATATATATGAAATGCTTCTAATTGTACATTTACTGTCAGGTCTCAAATCAAGGGCGTCGAGAAGAGAAGAACTGGCAATAAACTCTTTGAACACTCTTTTTAATCGCCAAGTTTTTTGTTTTACACAACGTTTGTAAGGAGCTGCAACCATTACACCATGGTAGTGAGGCAACTCACTACCCGAAGGGGGCATATGCCCCAAACGGGCCTAAACACTCCCCTTGCGAGAGTGGGTGTAACAAGAATAAGATCGATTAAAGTCAGTTGGCACTTATTTTAACATCCCTCAATCAACCGCCACCGAAATTAACTTTTAACAAAACTATTTTTTTGTGATGCAAAAAATAATAATTGATTAACCTATGGCAATAATAACTATCTCTATATATATAAAATTCTCGTGTTTAAATGTGCGTTCCCATACTCCTCCGAAACGGCTCGATCGATTCTTATGAAATTTTATATTCATATTCAGTAAGTCTGAGAATCGGCTACTATCAATCTTTCAAATCCCTAAGTGATAAGGGGTTTCCACCTCAATTTTGTATTTTTTAGATTTTTTTTTTATTTTTTTATGATACAGCACACAAAAATACATACAGGCCCTAATTTTCACCTCTCCACGATCAACCCTTATTTTTTATTATTGTAGATAGTTATTTTTATTGAACTAAAAAAATGTTTCCTAGAAATAATATACATGGCAAAACAAACGTCTTCCGGGTCAGCTAGTTTAGTTATACGATATTAAATACAAAACTGTTTATATTGACCTTTTATGATTTACAATTTAAAAGCCGCATCGCCCTTTAATGAATGTCAGTTGAATTTTTGAGTAGAATATTTGATTGGCATTTTAATCATTGAAAATTAAATTCATACATTAGTAAGAATTTTAATATGTAAACGTTTAGTGTCTGGTGGTTAAGCGTGCGTTATAACCCTGATATTGTGGGTTCGATTCTCAATTAAAGAACAACATTAGTTTAGTGTTAGTGCAGAAAACTGGCACATTAGGACCAAACAATTGACGTTATGTCTGATACACACTTAACCAGTGTATCATATAACGCTGATCTTCTATATACATATTTTTTAAAGACATTAATAACGGACAAAATAAATCAGTGGCGCTACAACCTCTTTAGGTCTTGGCCTCAGATTTCTGAATCTGTTTCATGATCATTTTTAAATCTAATAGGCAAGGCGGTGATCAGCCTCCAGTGTCTGACAGACGCCGTCGACTGTTTGGGTCTAAGACATGTCGGTTTCTTCACGATGTTTTACTTCACCGTTCGAGCAAATGTTAAATGCGCACATAGAAAGAAAGTCCATTGGTGCACAGCCGGGGATCGAACCTACGACTTCAGGTATGAGAGTCGCACGCTGAAGCCACTAGGCCAACACTGCTCACTATTAACGGAACACACGCAAAATTTGTGTCACGAGCCATCATACGTAGTAACATGTTTGGTAGTTTGTTAAAATTCAACATTCAATTCAATGCTGTTATCTATATGTAAGTGTCATATGGTAAAAAAGAACATCATCATCATCAGCCTCTTTTTTTTGGTCCATTTCTGGACGTAGGCCTCCTCCATTTTCCTCCAGCACACCCTGCACTGGCCTCTCTGTATCCAACCTACTTGAAGATGTGGTCAGATCGTCGATCAAAAAAGAAACAATTTTTATCATTTCAACTCCCAAAGTTGGTCTCGGAAGCATCAATTAGTGTTCATAAAACTCATGTTAATAAGAAAAAGCTTCGCAAAAGGTAATGATGGCGCCGCCAATAGACAACCAAGTTATATTTGACAGCTTGTAAATTTTGTTATATTGTTCCAGATTTCGTGTCAATACAAGAGATCTCAAATTGATAGGACACTCTCTTGCTAACGATTACTAAGTAAAAGTCGTTTGAAAAGTTTTTTTATTTGTAGTACTCGCTTAAACCAAAGACAAATTATAATATAGTATTGTCTTTGATTAACATAACCTTTACACATTTAAAGAAAAAGCTTTTTAACCGGATTAAAGTTATGTATTATTATAAATTTACAATTATTTACACGGTGACTGAAGACAAAAGGTGTTGGATGTCAAAAAGTATCACAGCTGTAGAGAAAGTTGCATTATCTGTATTTATTTCCCCGGAGTTGGTATCGACTAAAAGATGGTGATCAGCCCTCCATCTTTTACTCGATGACCACGCACGCTGTAAAGCACGCGAAACGTCGGATAAATTTAAAATTATGTTAAATAATTGTAAATTTATAATAATACATAACTTTAATCGGGTTAAAAAGTTTTTTCTTTAAATTATAATATTATTTAAACGTTCTATGAAGATCTTATAACATTAGAACGTAAATCTCTTCCTGACTCTTCTTATCAATGAAGCGATGAAATTCTGCCTGCATTGGGTCTCTTCATATAATATACTAATTTAGATAAAGAAAATCATATTTCGATTTATTTTTACAATATTCATAACCTAGTAATAAAAATAATAATAATTACAATTGTGTAAATAGAAAATTAAAACATTGTATTATAAACATAATATAGTATTGCGATTTGCGGATATTTATTCGTTGAGCGTGGAAAGCACCAGCTCTGGCGTCATCAGTACTATCTACCAGGCGCCAACATTTCCCACGCGGCGCGGCGGCCCAAGAGTCTCTACTCCAAAGGCAACAAAATCAATGGGAGAGGAAAGAATATTATTATAAATTTGTAATTACATCATACACGTTATGTTTGTTTTTATTTCCTATTAAAGTGATTAAAATTAAAAGATCATTCAACTCAATTAGGTCTATTGTCTCGTATAAGTGCATCGTGTAAATTAAAATGTTATCTAAATAAGTAGATAGTACTAATAAATGATATTATTTATTAAAACATAAACATAACCATTAAATATACAGTATTTACGATTTTCTTAACCTACATAGTAATAATAAACATAATTAAAAATAAATAAAAAGAAAATTAAAACAAATTTAAAAAGTTTGGTATCTGTTAGCATGGCAGCATTTCCTCGCTGTATTGCGATACTTATTCGTTGAGCGAGGAAAGCACCAGCTCCGGTCACCGGTACTATCTAACAGGCAACTATTAAATCTTTAATTAGCGCCTATGCACTTGAACCTCACGGCTCAAGAGTCTCCCTCTTGATTTATTTATATTTTATTTGCGCAGATATTATCATTCAAATATTCAAGCGATATTTTACTAATACTAATTTAAGTGTTCTACTATTGTGATATTATTAAATATCAATAAACCATTATAAAATAATATGACATTTATACAATTTGTTTCCTTTTACACTTATTTGTGTAAAGCATTCGAATTCTTACTTGTCATAGAAATAACAACGATTTTGTAGGTACCTTACATCTTACTTTCAAATGGTTTGAGAATATAGTATAGCATGAAGTATTATTGGTCTAGTGGGTCGTAGGCGATCCCCGGCTGTGCACCAATGGACTTTTTGTCTATGCGCATTTACCATTCCCTCTTACGATGAAGATATGGCGTCATTATATATGTACTATATAGAGTCATGTAGATAGTAGTGCGTAGCACATAATGTGTGTTATATGCAACCAGTCAAAAATATACCACGACTCAGTGAAAACGCGTTTAATTTTCGGGGGATGTCCGATTTGGGGAATTCGGCATATCTGAAATAAATAAAATCTTCTGCATGTGTCAGACAGAAGGCTGATCACCTACTTGTTTATGGAATAAAAATTGTCCAAGAAACGTTTGCCATTTGTGACCTAGATTATCATAACTTGAACTTGGTAATATAGACTATATTTAAGAAAATTTAATAACTTTATTCATATAGGTACACTTATGAACGACAACAAAAAGATGGTAAATTGATTCGAATACATTTACTACCAGTTCGCAAGTCAAGGGCATAGAGCGGGAAAGAAGAACTGGAAGAAACTTTCCGCCAATCTTTTTAATGGCTGAGTTTTGAGTTATATAAATTGTTTCTAAGGCAGAGCAGCCATATCATAGGATCATTTAAATAATCGTCAGATTTATAAAAATCTTTATTGATTAATTTAGGTTTAACGAGAGTTTTGAATTTATTCAGTGATAATTCTCTAATTTTGCTAGGGAGTTTGTTGTAAAAAGGAATACAATTTCCATATCTTCTGGAGTCTTATTAGTCGAACGCTGCCTCCACACTGCTCTATCATGCGCTTGCTTCAGCGCATTAGGTTTGAGACTCGTTATTGCCTTAATTAGGTTAGACTAACGGGTAGGCGACTGACCCCGACTTCTCCTGCCATTGTTCTTACCTACCCTACCTACGTATACATGATATTATTTTACATTAAAACAGCAACTAAATTCTATTTATATACTCCTTACTAGTTTGTAGAGCAAAGTGTAGTTTTTACATATCAACGTATACGAAATAATGTTTAAGGAGCCAGGAAATTTTTTTTGGACTCAAAAAATTTAATATGTTATCTCTGTACACTCGAAGAACTCTAGCCGGTGTTACCTTCTTGCATAAATAGCTCAATAACCATATATAGAGCAGTGACCTCTTACAGGAAATCAAATTTGTCGTCCCTTACTCATTCCCTAGGTTTAAAATCAACAATATCTTCCAAATTCCTTCTGCCAAAACCAACCTAGGAGTTCAGGCACCTCTCGTTCGAATTCTTCGCGAGTTCAACTAATTGAACACAGCTTATCCAGAGCTGGATATATTCGGTAGTGGGCTGATCGGTTTTAGAGAAAGCATTCTCAAACCTAATTTCGCTGTTTTGATGATGATTTTTCTTTTTTTTTTGCTCTAAGTGCCAACAAATTTCTGTAATTTTATTTTATTTTATTGTGTGCTTTTACTATCGTATATGTTTTAATTGTAATTTTTAATTTCTATTTAATTTTTTTTTGTGAAACTTATGCTTACATTAATTGTCACACATTTTAGATGTGAGATTTTTTGTAAAATAATTAGTAATTTTAGTACTGTGTGTGATGTCATAAGCTTAATATCTAAATAAATAAATAAATAAATCTTCGTACAAGCATATACATATACATAAGTTCTTACATTTATTCATTTAAACTTTAAAATATAAATTTTAGAAGAAAATGACAATGATCTTTAACATGATGATCAAATGATGTGTACCATGATTTCTCGAATCCCAATAAGTAGATTTTTTTTCCGAAATCACTGTGCATAGAATATATTAAATGTCGTATATTCATTGAGGATTACAAAAGTATCATCTTTTTGTATTTGAATAACAAACATTATATATTAAAGTTTTTAAAATCTCGAGAAATGTAACTTATAATATATACTTGAATAGTGGATCGATCGTATACTTGAAAATGGAAACTTGGCACCTTTTTCTATTTAACTAGAATATCCTGTTAAAAAATTTTATAGTTTAGAACTAAATTATTTTACACAATATTAGTTTCAGGCCCTAGGCTCGCTGAATAGCCTTCTTATGGTTACTGTATGCCACAGGAAGGCCCTCTGTGACATCAGGATATTTGTCTATGTCTGCCAGCCCTCTCCTAGTCTCCTCAGCATCCGCAACATCAGTGGGAGCACACCAGCACTGGACGATTTTTCGACGATCTTTCGCCGCAGCCTGGCGTTCTACGCGGTCGGTCGACCGGCGAGGTAAACTTACTTACACGTCTCGATTCATGGTAGTGGAGACTTACAATTGGATATACTGATGACCCGATAGACTCTTTACCGCCCGAGGTCCCAGCAGAAGCAGAAGTAATATCCACCGTTGAACTCCCGTTTGGGCGGATGCAGATGGGCTCCGTTCATTATTGAGGCTGTGTTTATGCCATGGCGTGCCTTTTGCCTTATTTATTAAGATAATTTTTTGGTGGTAAAATTCTGTATTCTTAAGTTATGATAAAAATAATCTTACATTAATAATGATGTTTGGATTCATATTCTGTTAATACATTTTCAAAGTAGCAGAAAGATGTAGAACGATACATAGGCTTATAATATGTTTATCTAATATATAAAGTTCTCGTGTCACAGTTTTCGTTGCCATACTCCTCCGAAACGGCTTGACCGATTCTCATGAAATTTTGTGTGCTTATTGTGTATGTCTGAGAATCGGACACCATCTATTTTTCATCCCCCTAAATGTTAAGGGTACCCCTAAATATTTTTTTTTTATTTTTAGATATTTTTTTCTGTTTTTATTTTTTTATGATACAGCATTAAAAAATACATACAAACCCCTTACTTTCACCCCTCTACGATCAACCCCTATTTTTTTATTATAAATTATATATATGGCAAAACGACGTTTGCCCGGTCAGCTAGTAAATATATTATAGTATTTAAAAGTCACCTTTTTCAGCCCAATAGTTGAAGGGATATTGAAATAATAAAAATATATATTATTATATACATTTATTTACTTATACTAAACAGAATACGTACATAAATATTATGTACAGATCCCTGAGTATTTTGCTATTAAATAATAAGTCTTATTTATCCAAGGAGAGAAGCAACCACACCTGGAGGGACGGCACCGCCTGGTCCCTGTTCTATTTGGGGCTGGAAGCCGTTCTCATCAGCTATGTAGCTTACAACGTAGGTGACACCGTCAGGTCCGACCCAGGTGTACTGACCTTGAACAACAAGGCTCTCGTTTTCAGTGCCTTGGTTTTTTAACTGTCCCCGCTCTTCATGTTTGGAACCGTCTGAGAGCTCCCATCTGAAAAGATTTTATAAATTACGGTTCCTTACTATCAATAAAAAACTATGGTCATATTGCCCGTCGCCAACCAGATAATCTGGACAAACTGCTTGTCTTCGGCAAGGTGGAAGGCAGAAGGCCGTGAGGCAGGTCGCTAACCCACTGGTGTGACTAAGTCACAAATCTCACGGGTCTTCCCGTAACAGCTGCGCTAAGGGAAGCTATAGACCGAACAAGGTTGAGAGATATCACTAGCAGGGCAGCAGGTACCTTACAATGATACAACCTTCAGCAATGAAGAATATGTCTATAAAAATGACTATAATGTCTATACTAAGCGATCGAAAATGATATTTATATGTAATTTTCTAATATATAATACAATAAACGTGAATTTATAAAACAAAATGAAAAGTTAATTTCTTTCAATATAAATAATTAGTTATGTTGCTGTACAAGTGTACAACCTCTTTTATATTGGATCAAAATGTCAAAACTGTTTTTATTCACACTAAACATATTTATATTGGACATGTACATTGTACAGTGATGTTTGTATTAAAGTTTATAAATATATAATAAACTTACGCGTAGCCGTATGATCCCAATCCAGCGTTGTCAGAATCATAGCGCAGGATCTGTACATCCTGAAGGTTCTGGGGAGCGCAAGAGGCTGCTGCGACCAAGGCAAGAACAACGAACTGAAATTCAAACGTATCTTATTAATACCACTGCTTTCTAATATCTATGGATGGAAAGATTTTCTTTAGCACAAATGTTGTGATGTCGGGATTTCACTTCACTAATAGATCCATAATTCACACTGACCAGTCTCATTTTTCCTTTTGATTCGTCTAGCTTCTTCAAAGAATACTTGCTGTGTGAGATGGTTACGCGTCCAAAGGTCTTATATATGAAGATATTTCTATTTCAACACTGCGGACCAGTCGGCGCTTGTTATAATACGTTCGGCAAAACATCGTCTGTCAACTCATGTTGACACAAAGTTATTGTTGTGTGTGTCTTAGGTAATAGGATTACAAATGTCAATGTTAATAACCAATACAAAGAGTAATTTATTACATGTTAGACAAAGTTATTAAACGATTAAGAGATTTGTTCAGCGCGATCTTTAATTGCTGTTTTGAAATTTACTTTCACGAGTAAGTGATATTTATGCTACTAATGTGACTAATCGATATTTTTTCATTACTACGGAAAACTTTTAACTGCGTTTGTTTGGTAACTTCACGTATATAGGAGGTTTTGAGTTCCTAGCCGGCGAAGCAAATAGTTCACCAACCCACTTGGGTTTCTATTTATAACCATTTTTAATAAAACATAAATAAAATGCAATTGCCATATATTTTTGATTTTATTATATGTTCATACTGGATGTTTTGACACATTTTAAAATCTAAATTTACCCTTTTACATTTGTATAATGGGAGCTACCTGATACTGTGTCAGACACAATTTAAACGTGCCTGTGTTGAATTAAATGTAATACGAGCTGTATGTATGCAGTAAGAGCAGTGGCTTCAGCATATCTCATCCATGAGGTCGTAGGTTCGAACGCCGGCTGTGCACCGACGGACTTGTGCGCATTTAACATCGCTCGAACGGTGAAGGAAAAGATCGTGAGGAAACCGACATGTCTTAGACCCAAAAGTCGACGGCGTGTGTCAGGCACTGGAGGCTGATCACCTACTTGCCTATTAGATTGAAAAATGATCATGAAACAGATTCAGAAATCTGAGGCCCAGACCTAAAGAGGTTGTAGCGTCACTGATTTTTTTATTTTATTTTTTATTTGAAAAATTTACTAGACGTGTCTTAGACGAAAACTTTGAAGGCACGGGATCACATTTTTGGTCTGACCTATTAAGAAAAACAATGTATCATGAAACAGATCTGAGATCACTCTGCCACGCAGATTTTCTTACCCCTTAGACTTTATCATACATACGTATTAATTTTTTTGAAATTTGGTTGCATTTGATTATAGTACATTTCTGAAATTTTCGCAACGCCTTGTTACATGATTTTATTGCTATACGCACATTTATTAACATAAAGCCTTAATTACCACTAATCAAGTTCTCATGAAGATAACAGTTACAGTTAATTAATATGATGGTTTCAACAAAAGTACTCTTCCGGGTGAAAACGGGTCAAAACACATTTGTTAAACACATTCGTTCACAGAAATGTGTATCCGCTAATGCATACTTTTTTATTTGTATTGTTATAGATAACATTTGAAGCCTTGTTAATATTTATATACCTTTACTGCTAGACTTCCGAGACTTTTATGTTTGTGAGTATTTATGTATACCTACTGAGCGCAAATGTCCGTATCACATTATAATAATAAATAAATATGTGGCGCTACAACCTTGTAGTAGGTCTGAGCCTCATATTTCTATATCTGTTTTATGATCATTTCTCAAACTAATCGACAAGTAGGTGATCAGCCCCCGGTGCCTGACACATGCCGTGGGTCTAAGGCAAGCCGGTTTCCTCACGATGTTATCCTTCACCGATCGAGCGATGTTAAATGCGTACATAGAAAGAAAGTCCATTGGTGCACAGCCGGGGATCGAACCTACAACCTCAGGGATGACAGTCGCACGCTAAAGCCACTAGGCCAACACTGCTCATTCACACTAAAGTTTTCATAAATTTGTTTTTATTGAGCACAAAGAAAACCCAAGCCCAAACGGGATGCGAACTCATGACCCCACGGTTAACAGTCAAACACTCAACATAAGCTGACACAATAGCAAAGCAATACACATTCATAACAACTTTACTAATTTTAACCTTACGACGTGATGTAAGAAACGCAGAAGGTATCAGCCACTTCTTCCTTGTTTTTATCGTTCTGTATAACATTATTGTTTAGCATATAAGCTTATCCAAAACACAAACGCTACTTAGAACCAAAGCAAAAAATACCTAGACGTGAAAAATTTTGTTTCTACAAGGTCAACAGTTTAGGTGATTGTACGGTTAATGTTAATCGAATTAGTATTTCGACAATTTTAAGTATATGCCTATTAGAGAACTCATCAAACGAATTGCATATTAAATTCTCGAAAGGTTGTGGGAACATCATAACAAGGCCATACTGGAGATGATTTTGATTACAGATTCTTAATGACAAGTAAATAAAGTTCACAAATAATGTATTGAAGGATGCTTGAGAAAGGTTAAGGTGATATGTTAGATTGTGGAAAAACATAAATCAAGGAGTAAATAAGCCAGTGACGAGTTCTTGCTGGCGCAGGTACTGGTAGTTCGTTCTGTTAGTGAATTCTTAAAACAAAATTCATAAAAATTTGCGTTGTAACGTATCGGAACGTTTGTTTTTATGGAATTTAAAATAATATTTATATAATAATTAAATTTTCGCATATTTGCGAGTGATAAGAGGTAACTGAAATATGAATTCATTGAAAGGTTCAATTCTCAGGTGTATTTTTAGCATTGACTTTAGATTTCATACTAATAAAATTTTATTATTATATAAATTTAATTTTATTAATAATTAATATAATTTTTTGAGTTGTTTCGATTTATCGAACGCCTCTCTGGTGATTGATGATCGCCAAATCAGAACACTGACTTAATCCAAATTAACATTTAAGTCGACATGTTGAAGAACTAGCGAACTGTGGAATCTTCTCCCGATGGGGGTCTTCCCTGAGAGATACGACCTCCAACTGTTCAAAGTAAGAATGTACTCCACCATCAAAGGCTGGCAAATCACCCACTAGACTACCTTTTTGGGTGTCTCGTAGGTAAGTTTGCCCGCATATCTTTATATATATAATTCTTCTGTGAGTGTGTATGTCACTGAACTTCTCTCAAACGACTGGACCGATTTTGATGAAATTTTTTGTGTGTGTTCAAGGGGATCTGGGAATGGTTTAGATTCACAAATCAGCCCGGCAGATGGCACTGCAGTCGGTACTTTCATACTTTGCTTAATATCCTAATCGCTTTAAATATCATGCAGGACAACGTCTGTGGGGTCCACTAGTCTATATATATATAAAAATGAAACCAGTTTTCCGTTGTCACGACATAACATGATAACGGCTTGACCGATTTGTCTGATTCTTTTTTTATAATATTCCTTGAAGTACGAGGATGGTTCTTACGGAGAGAAAAATTGAGTGAAAAAGTCTAAAAACAACACTTTTCTATTTTCCCATACAAAATATTCGTAATAATACTTAAAAGTCAATTTGAACTTTAATACCATATCATAAAGTTCAAGTGTTTGTGGAGGGGTTCCGGGAAGGTAAATTTTAATTTTTGGACATAATGTATTTGTTGTCTTATCAACTTTCTTTTTTTTATCTTACTATGGTCTAAGATCCCGCTATACATCGACCTTCACCGAGATGCTTATTTAATGAAACTTATTTTATATGTCAATAAATATAATCCATATGGGTTGCCTAGCAAATTTCAGTCCAGAGTATGTTTAATTAATTTAAAAAAATATTTTTTTAAACATTTCACCGGTATGATTATTAGATAAATTCTATACCAATCGAACGTATGAAGCCCATAGAATATGCAAACGTTAGGTTGTTTTTAATCAACTAATTATTTATGTGTATATTTTTTATGTGACACTAAAGTATGTATACATCTTTAGTATAAAAGAAGGTTATAGTGATACATATATAATACTACCCTGATTAAAAATATTGATTGAAAAAGTTCAAAAAATTTACTACATGCAAATTATAAAAAAAAAAAAAAATGTTTAAATATTAATTAAACATACTCTGGACTGAAATTTGCTAGGCAACCCATATGGATTATATTTATTGACATATTAAATTAAATATAAAATAAGTTTCATTAAATAAGCATCTCGGTGAAGGTCGTTGTATAGCGGGATCTTATACTACTAGCTAGACCGGTATCCCGAATAGCAGAATAAGTATTTAAAAAAATAAAGAATCGACTGTTAGGCGGTACGATGTTCACCAGGCCAGCTAGTTCTATATAAAAAAAAACAGATTTAATTGTGTGTGCGAGTGAAGTTGCTACAGAGAAGTTGTGTGTATATTTTGATTTTCCAAATGTATTCTGGTTTCGCTGATAGGTTTATTACCTTTCTTATTTTTGTAAAGTTTCGATATGTTAGTTTAATTTTGAAGGTATTTTTTTTACAACTTGTAAACAAGTTAAACTTGGACACTTTTGAAAACATAGTATTGTTTTATGTTATATTTATTATTTGTGGAACTATAAAAGGTATTACTTTTTCGTACGACTGTATATTATCCGCAAACCTACCGAAATTTTTAATGTCACACTCTGTTTCTTAAAAATCTTATATGACGAAAGTTATCAGTAGATCATTTAATCGACTGATTGAGAGAGTGCGTAATTAAACTTTCAAGTAGAAATTTCGCGGGCTTGTATTGTATAGATTTTCAAAAATCTATAATAATTAACAAATATTGTTTGTAATCTATAAGGTCAATAATTGCACAATTTGAAAATTATACTCAACTCTGTCGTAAAGGTTTAGTTAACATTCATATTGGTCGTTACATCACAGAATGTTGAACCGAAGCCATGCGCGTGACCTCCGACACCCTGTCTTCCTATTTTGGGTCAATCTTGATATTTCGTTGTTCTTTTAAATAATATTTTATGAGGTGAGAGTAGTTTCGTGTTTCAAGGCATCTTAGTTCAAGTGAAAGCTAAGTTTTTTTTAATAATGACAACATCTATTTCTGTAGGCTGAGCCAACAGTCATTTAATATATACTTACAGCAAAAAGCGATGTCGAACATTCTATGTGGAACTAGCTGCCCACTGAAGTATTTCCGAACTTTTGACTTAGGGACCTTCAAGAAAGTTGCGTACCTGGGCCACGTGTTGCGCCATGACCGCTACCATCTCCTTCAATTAATTATAATGGGTTAAATCCAGGGTAAACGGCGTGTTGGTAGAAGGAAGAAATCATGGCTTCGCAACGTTAGGGAGTGGACGGGTATTGCAACTGCGGAAGAGTTGCTGCATCCGGCACAGGACAAGACACGCTTCAAGATACTGACGGCCAACCTTCAGTACCTAATGGAGAGGCACTAAAAGAAGAGAAGAAGAAAAGAGCGTACCAAAAAAGTATTTAAATAACCCTTAATGAGCTTATTATACAATATACGTAAAAATTATACAATGTTTAATTGCAAAGTTTATTTATTAATATTAGTTTAAAAAAAAATTGCGTATTGAAGATGGAAAGTGTCAGTCGGAATTAGAAAAATAACGTCGACTGCAATATAATATAATATCTCTAATCCAAGTCAAAACTGTATATTTTTTCTTGAGGCCTAACAGATATTTGGGTTTTATTATTTCACGAAAAGGTGACATAATTGAGCTCAAAGTTCGAGTTATGTAAATTGTTTCTCTTAATTCATTACGCAGGTCAAGTTCGTATAGTTGCTATATGGTAACTAGTAAAAACCAAATCAGTATAGTCTACATATTTTCACTAACAAATATGTCTTATTCTACTCTGGAACGCCGAGTGGAAGGGTACCTGGACAGGACAGGGAGCGGTGGGAGTTGTTTGTTTATGTTAAAAAACGACGGGTTGCACTCCGGGAGTGCCGGCAGAAGTGAAAACTTGAATGTTAACGTTGTACATTTTTGATATTTTGGAATGGTTAGAGAATAATTTTGCACGAATTGCTTTATAAAGTATAAAAGTACGATCATTTATGTGGTAGAATACAATATTTATTTATTGCGCTATCGTACACAAACATGACAATTTATATTACATTAAATACGCCGCGCCAGCTGTCTCCATCCGTCTTACCAATTTTCGATCAGGTCACGTGTCCTGACGCGAGTTTAAAATTTTTTACCCTTTCCAAAAAAAGTGTACAACGCCGCTAAAGAAGTTTTCACTTCAAAACTTTAGGTCGCAGGGCCACCTTATTTATCTTATCTCGGAGACCAAATTTTGGTTTTCTGTGTCCACAAGTGTAGCATAAACCTAAATTAATTAGAATAAAAGTATATTGATATACGAGAATCAAAAAACGAAAAATATGGACGATATTTTAACGAAGCAAATCGCACGCGATGGGATATGTAAGGCACTGTATGAAGTATAATTGATAAATTTTAAACTTTTATTTTAAAGAATTTTACCGAGGTGTTATATTTTATTAAAGTTTTTTTACATTTATTTTTTGGTAATTTTATTGTTAAGTTATTAATTGTCTTAAATATTGATTACATTAGATATATTAAATATTTTTTTAATGATGTATGTATTAAGTTTAGCACTTGCACTTCTTTGCATTTATTTTTTTATTTCTGTTTTCTTTTTAGGTTTAATTAATGCTTTATTCTTGTAAATTGTATTATATGAAACAAAGCATATAAAAATTTATACCTAACATATTAATTTCATTGTGTACAACTGACAGATCTCATCAGATTCTCATCAGCTCAGAAAAAATTGTTTTAGTGAATTTTTTTTCGTGTAACTTTTAAAAATACTAGTTGTTATTGCTTTCTTTTTAAAAATAGAATCATTTTGTGTGATACTATGCAACTGAATAAGAGTTTATACTATTATCTGTATGTATTTCGTTTATATTTTTTCGAATATCAAATGTTTCCACCATATTATTTATATAAATTGTGTTCTTAAATTATAAAATTTATGAACGCAATTTGAAAATCAATTATCTTATTTAACGCCGCGAAATACTAAAATTACATATTGGTTATCATGAACTTTTGATTTTCAAACGCCGATTTGAATTTCGAAAGAATAATGACCAGTGCTATTTGAATTTATAAAAACACCGCTAAGTGTGGGTATCGTTCATCGGTCTCTATGATTGCTTCAGAGTATAATTTGTAGGTCGGGGTAACTTATTATAGTTATTACTTAAACCAGTTGTTACACGAATAGAATAACGTTCTGTTGACATTTCTTTAGATATGAATAACATTAGCGAACTAAAGCGTTAAAAGAAATTTGATTAGAATAAAGTCGTCAAGTTAATTACGACTGTTATAATGTTTTCTCATTTTTGACCTCCTTGGGTGATGTTTTATAACTGTAAGTTTTTCCGAATTTTTGCAAAACATTGTACTATGAAAAAACACGAGGATGTCTTTCGCTTATCTAATTTCACCTCCTCTGAAATAGATCGCAACAACCTTATAGTTTAGATTGTGATTCTACCAAATAATCATAAAAGTTAATGCGACAGTTTAAAAACGAATAAAGTAATATATCCCTGTTTCACCAAGGTGATTATATTTCCGCGAATAGAGTTGTAATAGATATTTATGTTTTAAACATTCGTTAAAATGTGCCGTTGTAATGTGTCGTCCATAATTATGTTTAAACGGTGAAACAATCGCAAACGCTTGTGCTATTCAGTCTAATTAGATTTAAAACTGTAATGTACATTTATTTTTTAACCATTTACACTAAATACATAACAACAATGTTTAAATTGTCGAATAGCAAAAGGAATCGCTTTCATTTGATACATATAATTGTATATGTAATGTATTTAGTATCCTAGTAATAATAGCATTACCTTCTCTGTTTTTCCTGAAAAAAATTGATTTTGTTTTTACGACTTCGTTCCCCGGGGCAAGCGATAATAAACAAATGATGCAGCATGAAGTTGAACGCATTCTACTGGCGGATGGCGTTGCCTAAATATTTTTGGTCACTCATTAACACATTCTAATATAATATCATCGTCTTCTTCATCGACTCATTAATTAAAGTATCTCACTATGTTTAAATTCATCATTAGATAGCAATAAACGTATGTATCATAGTTTAATTTCTGTGACAAACAGCTGTTACTATATAAATTACCAGCGGCCATCTTGTTAACCCTCCGATACTGAGTAGTTAACTTTTTTAACTAATGGTTAGATATTTAACCATTAGTTGCTCTAACCACGGATCAAAAAATGCATTTTGTTGATATTTAACTAATAGTAAGGGTTTTTAATCAATAGTTGAGTTAACTACGGATCAAAAAACCGGCCCTTAGTGATAAGTATATAGCCCGGTTATACTAAATTTATTTTGCGAATTTATTGCCGGCGAAGTTATTTTAAAATCCCAGAATCTACATCGAATAAAGACCCAGTTACTAAAAATTACACTTTAAATGTTATTGTTTGTTCGTGATCTTTAACCATTTTTCTGTAAATAAAACCATTGAATTGATTAAAAAAATGCTGTGGTATATTATGAAATGACGTCAAATGAAGCGACAATTCTGTCCAGTTCATCTTCCGTAAAACAAAGCAGCATGATGCAGTATACTCTACGTCTGTCCACGTGACTCTCTCTCATCATCGACGAATAGTACTGGTCTTCTTCTTGTGTATATCGCTCTAAGTCTATTCTACATACCTGTTATAAAAAATCTTGGTCCTTTAATCATTAGCTTATCAATATTTTTAGCGTGTGTTCATCAATGTTTTTTTTTAAATCTTTGTATTAAAGACGTCTCAGACTCTATCAGATAAATGAACAAAGATACCATAGCCACATAGATACCACTATGGTAACCAAGGTTAAAATATTAATATATAAATTTAAAAAAAAATTATAAAAAAATATTCGTATTAAAAACACTTAAAAAAAAAAACAACTGATGTTGTGTTTTGGATGCTGGAAAGGATTAATAGCATTTCAATGGGGAAAATTGCTTGATGGGATGTCAAATATCTCATATTAGAAATACGGAACGAATTAAACCCGAATGTCGAGGTACCACTGTACAGACTCCTAAAAGGCCGCACGTACTTGCGAGCCTTCTGGCAGCGTAAACGCGGTAAACGCGGAATTTTGTGAACGTGATGGCTGCCGGCATCGTTATTGGAAGTTACAAAGTAATGACTCAGATGAGTCTCTGGTCAACCTCCTACTTTAGAGAAAAATACATAATTTAAATTTTTGATTTGTATTACATATCTAATTATAATTAATTTGTTTAATTCTTGCTTCGATTGGCCTGTATTTAAAAAGTAGATGATATAATTGGAAGTGTTACCAGAACTGGCAGGAGGTTTACCACGTCATGTGACCATCACCGAATATGGGCAACAATGTTACCACGCATACAATAAATTAAGAGAAATATATACCTTTTTACCATTTTCATTAAAACATGCCAACTCTTCAAAATGGGAGTTTATGTTTGATTTAGGATTTCTGAAGTAATTCTTTAGTTCTGAATATCGACCTAAATGCTGGAATAAAATACATTAAAAAAAATCTATAGCTACACTAACAATTTTTATTTCGTTTTTTGCTATCATTTAATATATTTAATCAATAGAATCCAAATAAGCGCAATAGGCAGTGAACCTTTAGTTCTGGCAGCATTTCTTCGCTGTATTGCGAGAGAATAGTGAATAAGATTACCACTGAGGTCGCGTTATCAAATCCAGTATTTATTATCACTTATGTAGACATAAACATAACATTTATTACTAACAAAAACTCACAAAATAATAATAATCAAAGAAAAAATAAAATGAGAGATATCAAAAACAAAACAAAAAAAATCCCTTTTCCCAGTCGGTTCGTTTCAAGTGTGTAATGCGTGTGTGCTGTGGTTGTAATTGGCCCTGGCTCAGCATTATGCTGAGAAGCAGAATGTTCCACATTGCTGGTCATTCTGCCACAGCAGCTAGTTTGCGCCTCAGTCGCAAAAAAAGGTGTATGTAAAATAAAATTAAAAGTTAAAAATAAGAATAATTGTTAAGAAGTAGATAAATATTTTTTTTGGGCGGATTAAAAAACTAGATTTCGTGGGATTTGATGAGTAAGATGTATCTTATAGATTCGACTAAAATTTGACTTTAATTGTGTAAAATGTCATCCATAAACCCACATTTGACACATATACCCTTCTTTGGAGCTTACAATAATAATTACAGACTATGAAAGCTCAAAAAGCTGTAGTCTGCACTCACGCCTCAATAAATTACCATAAAACAATTCGTATCCTGAAATTAATAATAAAGAATAAAACATACTTCTGGATCGGAAGCTCCACTTTTTCTAACTGTGTCTTGCGGGAATTCACTTGGAAAAATTCTTCTTAACTCAACATCTTCACTAGAATAATTAAATAAGATTACTTTGTATACAACGAATGAATATTCATGAATGTCAAAATAACTCACTAAGTGTAAATAGCTCCGCTGTTTCGTTTTATTAGCAAATGAAGAACCTAAAATAATTGCTTGGAATTAGTCAGTAATTATATAGCCTAGTATGAGTTTATATTGATTGAAACTTCAGCGTGTTCGTAAAGATTTCAAAAGTTTATAAAACGGGATAGGTAAATTTAAAATATATATTGTTGCATTTAGAACTTAGTATCATTTAGGATAGCGGATATACTGGTGACTGTTAGAACATAGCTTTCCCCGCGGCGGCCCTAGCCGAGGTCCGAGTCTCGCATGAAACGCCCTCGCACTTACCCCATTTCGGCCCAGCTACGTTCGCCAAAACAGCCCGACTTGAGCTGTCAACCTCAGGTTAAAAGCAAGATTCCATTGAATAAAAATAAGAATTTTCTCTGGTCTATCAAAAACTTTTAATATCTATATCTTGCCGGGGGAGCCCAAGGGATCTTGGAATGTAATTTTTGAACTTGTTCAGACTATAGATTATAGGAAGATTTAATAGATACTCTTGATTTGATTAAATATATAATTATCTATACAAATAATTTCATTTGGCAGAAGTCAAGAAAAATCATCTTATATATAATATATCAACATTGAGATAGTAATTGGATTCGATAGACATGTCTTTTAACAACCGTTAGATTTTAATTGAAAATCAGTATCAAAACTCTCATATGTTCCGGTTCCTAGAAACCCACACTAGGCCTTCCGTCCTTAAGTAGTGACTACTTACAATGTAAGAGAATAACCACTTTTGTTGCAACATATTCAACCCTTATTGATGTTTTACTCACAAAACTGTTAACGCGCTGTTGTGTTTACGATAACATAATCGTAAAATAGTGTTCAAATCAAAAGAAAATATAATATTACACGTGATTTAAATATACAATATTGTATATGTTCTTATTCCGGCCGGCAACTTAAAAAAATAATGATACAACTAGCTGACGCGGCTAATCTTTTCCATATTAATAATTTCTAGGGAATATTGGTAGCACTTAGTAGGGTTTAGTTGGTTGAGCAGTGTTGGCCAAGTGGCTTCAGCGTGCGACTCTCATACCTGAGGTTGTAGGTTCGATCCCCGGCTGTGCTCCAATGGACTTTCTTTCTATGTGCGCATTTACATTTGCTCGAACGGTGAAGGAAAACATCGTGAGGAAACTTGTTGTTGATGATGAACGATGTCTTAGACCCAAAAAGTCGACGGCGTGTGTCAGGTACTGGGGGCTGATCACCTACTTGCCTATTTGATTTAAAAATGATCATGAAACAGATTCAGAAATCTGAGGCCAAGACCTAAAGAGGTTGTAGCGCCACAGATTTTTTTTAGTAGGGTTTAGTATAGAATAGGAAAATATCCTATGTATTTTTAATGTTAAATCAGTTTGCTTAGAAACACTCTGCCAAAGGAATTTTATTTATATATCGCTAACAAGATTTATTTATAATTCACAAGGCTTACTAATAAATGAAGAGTATCTGTTAAGTGACACGATACTCTCGTAAGAAATAAGAATAAATAGCTACTACTTATATATATTCATTATTGTGACTCAGTTAACTTTTTGATTGGCATTTAAATTTTTGTTTATACATATTTTTATTTATTGTAATTTATATTTTTTATTTAGATTTTAATATATATTATTTTAGTTATAGTTACGTGTTATATTGATTTTTTTTTTGTTAATTCTTTATGCACTTCTTGTTCTTGACCCTCTGTAGATGTTTCTTTTTAATTGTTCCATATTAGGGTTGCCTGGAAGAAATCACTTGTTAGCGATAAGGCCGCCCGTTGCCTTATAACTTATGTAACCTGCTTTTTTTATATGTATGTTTTCGTATAAGGAAATACAGTGTAAAAAAATAAAGGTACCTATTTGCTATTTTAGTCTTATAAATATTTAGTAGAATAACTTAAATTATTATCAACACCAAGATTTATTTCTCTTAATTAATCCTACTAAGTCTCTCTCTTTATTTTAACTATTATATTTACTTCACTAACCAGATTCACCGATAAAGTGAGAGACTCATCGTCCTAAAAACTATACACTTTTATAAGAGAGACAGAAACCGGTGGAATCAGATTGTCAGCTCCAGATGTTTCCTTGCTGACCACGGTGCTCAGACATGAGCTACCGGCTAAAGAGAAAGAGAGAGAGAGAGACACTAACATATAATAACCTTCAATCGAGACATTCAAACATTTAGCTATTCATTGTATATTTTTTTATTAATTTTAACAATCAATTAAAATAACCGGTTATAACTTACACATGTAAGACTGGTACGTGATTGCAACTGCGCAGACACAGTAATTCTTAAAATTGATCTCATTAAGCCTTTCTTAATTTTCTTGCAGAACAGGTATGTTGTCAAGCAAAATGCTTGAAGCTAAACAACGCTTTATAAAGTGTAAAACAAACGTTTAAAACTGCTTAAAATATGATTTAGAACGTAAACAAAGATGGCGTACTCGTAAACCATAGACAATATAGTGAAGTGCAATCGTGATGTGTAGTTTAATAATATTATTTAGGCTTATAGTTAATTTATAAATGTTTAATTATTGTTATGTGACAATAAAATACGCTTAAGACTATCAATCGACATTCTTATGAAAAAAAATGTGAGCCGTCACGGGACGCCTGGCAGATGTGAACCATCGACATTATTTTGTAAAAGTAATATGCAGAAAAGAACAGATTGTGATAGGAACTAATTATGTCATAATGATAAAATAAAATATTACGATTTTTTTCCAGATAACGGACTATTTATTGAATAAACATTTACTTTCATTAAATACAAAAATTTACGAATTTATTTCAAATCGTGACTACTTAATTCGTTTAATCAGTGACTTCGAAATACACACACCGTATACACTACTGCATAAAGACTGTATATATATACCATCATATAGCGTGGCGTCGCCACAGCATGCGTCGCCACGCCAGAAATCGGTTTTACGTACGGCTATAGATGTTTCACATCAAAACAGGCAAATACATATAGTATAGCCAAAGAGATTTTATTACAAGTTCATACATAGTATAATGCGAAAAGACTTTTTCCCCAACCTAATATGTATACCTTAGTATAGCTTGGCGACCCGTCGCCACGGCAAGCGTCGCCACGCCAACAATTCGGTTTACAAGTGAGCCTATAGATGTTTCACATCAAAAACTTAACATAATTAAATCCGAATAATTATTTAGGCATAACTGTATAAAAATATATCAAATCTAAAACAATATTAGAAACAAGTTTGTATTATATTTTATGAACCTTCACAGAACACAAATCGTTCCCCACAGCTCTTCTCTTTGATTAAAGATGTTTAACGGTAATAGAATATTGAGTCAACTGGCATTTTAGTTAGAATCTGTATTTTTGCGCGGTCGCAGTTTTCACGATTTTTACATTTTAATGATTTAAAACGTAAAAATTAATGTTATTTTTATTAAATCGATTAGATTATATAGTATTCAAGTTAAAATCATAGGCATAGAAAAATCTGTAGTACGTAATAATCGCAATATTTTTGTATCGTTTTTTAAATTAAAAGCAATTAAGAATAAATGGGCTGTGGGCTGACTAAAACATGTATAATTTATGAAAAGTAATTATTAAGTTCATTAAGCAAATTGAAGGTATATCCCTAGATTATATTTTTTAATATTCTAATCGGGAAATTTTAGGTTTTTTATGTAACGGAAAACAGCAATATTGTTTAAAAAAAATCGACCTTATTCATATCAGTGAATTAAATTATTCGTCTGTCATTAAATCTAAAACTATTAACTATTGGTTGAAATCCATTCTCATCAGCGATATATTTTAAAGAATGGTGAAATCCCTGCGGATCTATGAAATCGTATTCACCTCTCACTGCGTAATTAAAGCCACCATTGCGTGGAAATAATCCACCATCTTCCTTTCTATGCGTTCCATCTGACGTTTGAAACCTAGAAAATAATTAAACCTATAATGATGTGCTTCCATATCTGTTCATAATTAAAGTAGAAGAAATAAACAGTATTTATGTCGAAATCAGTATGATGGCAACATTTAATTATATACAGGAACCGTAATGTTCTTATTAACACTCCATTAGTCGCGCGTTCTACTATTGTAGAACACGGGTGCATTTCGTAGAATTTTATCGTGAATTGTGGGTATTTAACGCACACACTCATAGTATTCCTCTATTATACACTGGTAATCACTATTTGTATCCTTGCGGTGACCTGCGCGATCGGACGTGTTAGAAATTTCGCGCCAAAACTAAAATTCTACGACTGTAGAGCGTGCGAGCACTCGCGTGACATTTTACTCGGAAGTTTACCTTTCGTGTTTACTTCATGTAAGTATTTATATTATGTGTAACTATTGTTATTGTGAGTTTTTTTAGTTTAATATTATTTGTAACTTGAGTAATTGTATTTCTCAGAATAATGGCACATATTTTGAGATGGTTGGAAGAAGTTAGTACTGATGATGACGATATAATAGAAAGTGACACTGAAGCGGAGCTATGTGATGAAGACTGTGTTTTCGAATCACCACATAATACTGATACCGAACAAGAAGTAAGTGATACAGAACCATCCTTGGCAAGAAGCGAGCCAGGTACTTATCAAACTTTAGACTCGGATTTCGAATCGGAAGATGATATACCTCTAAGTTACCTCAATAACGATTACTACACGGCCAAAAATGGCACTAAGTGGATGAAACATCCTTATCCTAGCACGCGCATACGTACTCAGAATATTCGTACACAACCCACAGGGCCTAAAGGGGCTGCTAAAAATGTGTCATCGGAGCTAGAATGTTTTGAATTATTCTTTGATCAGTCTATCATAGAACTCGTAACAAATTCTACAAATATCTACATAGAGCAAGTGAAAACTAAATTTTCCAGAGAGCGAGATGCAAAAGTTACGGATATCTTGGAAATGAGAGCTTTTATTGGCATGCTTTTTGTAATAGGTGTTCAGAAATCTGGAAGACGTAATTTGGAAGATATCTGGGATACAACGCGAGGTATAGGTACCGAATTGATATATCTCGTCATGTCTCTAAGTAGATTTAGATTCCTTCTGCGAACGGTTAGATTTGATGATGTAAGGGATAGAGCAGTTCGTAAACAACAAGATAAATTAGCTCCAGTTCGAGATATTTTCGAGAAATTAGTCAATAACTGCCAACAACACTTTGTTCCAAGTGATTTCTTAACTTTGGATGAACAGCTTGTTGCTTTCCGAGGACGATGCCCTTTTAGGCAATATATACCAAATAAACCCGCAAAGTACGGTATCAAAATATTTTTACTAACGGATACAAAGGTACCTTATACCTACCACATGGAAATATACGCAGGAGCTCAGCCGGATGGTCCTTATGCACAATCAAATAAAGTTGTGGATATTGTGCAACGAATGCTAGCCCCACTGGATGGTTTAGGTTGTAACGTTACAATGGATAATTGGTTTACTAATATACCTCAAAGTTTAGAGCTCTTAGATCATAAAATTACTGTCGTAGGCACTGTGAAAAAAAATAAGCCACAAATTCCCGAAGAATTCAAAATCACCAGAAACAGAAGTGAAAGCAGTTCCATTTTTGGCTTCCAAAAACAAGGTACTTTAGTATCTTACATGCCCAAACCAAAGAAATTGGTTCTAATGTACTCAACTATGCACTATGATGATCATATCGATTTACAAACGGCAGAAAAACGTGAGCCAGAAA